TTGTCCTTTAATTGGAAAAAACCCCCTTGTACCCTCTCGGGTGCGGAAAAAGGAGGTGTGACAACCGCGGATCGCACAAATTACACCGCGGTCGCGAAGTCCCCACCGCGGCCGCGAAGCTTCCACCACGGACCGCGAGACCTGGCTTCAGAAACCTGCAACTTCGCTGAATCTGCAACTTTTTCCTAAGTGTAAAAACATCCCGAAACTCACCCTAGCCCTCGGGGCTCCAAACCAAATATCATACTAACTCAAAAACATCATATGGACCTACTCGTGCAATCACATCATCAAAATAACATGTAAAATCATGAATTAAACCTCAAAACTCAACATTTTCATCAAGAACTCTCAAAGTCCATAACTCTTCAACCGGAAGTCCAACTCACGTCAAATAAACGTTGTTTTTCACCAAATTTCACAGTTATCTTTCAAATACCATAACAAGTTTGTACCGGGCTCCGGAACCAAAATACGGGCCCGATAACAATGGTTTCAAACATTAATTCTTTTCTTTATTCCTTAGATAATTCAGTAAAATAATTTCTTTCAAAAATTGATTTCCAAGGCTTGGGACCTCAGAATTCATTTCCGGGTATACGCCCAAGTCCCATATTTTACTTCGGACCTCCCGGGATTGTCGGAACACGAATCCGAGTCCGTTTGCTAAGAATGTTGACCAAAGTCAATCATAATCAAAGTTTTAACTCTAAAATTTCTATTTCTCATATTTTCACATAGAAGGCTTTCCGAATATAGGTCCGGACCATGCACATAAATCAAGGTGGGGTAAAAAGGAAAGTTTTTAGGCCTCGGAACACTAAATGCACTTGCAACGCAAGTGATGACCCTTTTGGGTCATCACATTGCCTCTGGCAACTTAACACCAAAAAACGAATTATCTTCCAAAAAAATATTTCCCATCATGCGAAACACATCTAAATCCATTAAATGACTCAGAATTGGGATTTATGGTTTGAAAAATGATAAAAAGAAACAGTTCTTCGAAGACCATCTCTAATACAACACCAATTTTGACACCAAACACCATTTTAGTGTAAGATTTGTTTTTTTTTTTGCTCCAATCCAATACCATTTTTTGCACCATTTTGGTGTGTTAATAATGTTACATCAAATTTGGTGTAACACTATTCATCAACACTATTACTATTCACTATTATTTTAATATTATCATTTATTATATAACACTTTTAATTTAACATATTATAATTTTGTAATTAATTATAGTTTTTATGTAATATCTTTATAATATTAATTTTATATTTTAATTTTTGGTGTATAATTTTTATAAATTAATTTTTGTATATTTTATTTTTATATTAAATTGTAAGTTAATTTTATTATAAGTTATAATTGTATAAAATATAAAACCATAAAAAAAATGAAACGTGCAAAACGAAATTATAATATGTTAATAAATAACATAATGTTCATTGATTATCAAGATGCTTGGGAATGAAGTCAAGTGCAAAACTGAAATATACTGTACAACATGATAATCGAGGATGAACGTGATCTTAATGCACCAATTCAAGATGCTTGGGAAGGTCCAACTCCAACAATTTTTAGCTCGGCACAAAAATATTAAGGACAAAGATGCTTATTTTACACTTCGTAATACATTATAGAGCATCCGAGAAGATTTTCATAGGGGGTGACTTTAATGGTCATGTTGGGGAGATGGCTAGAGGTTATGACGAGGTGCATGGAGGGTTCGGTTTCGGGGCTAGGAACGAGGGCGGTACTTCGTTGTTGGAGTTTGCTAAAGCTTTTGACTTGGTGTTAGCTAACATGGGTTTTCAGAAGAGGGAGGATCACCTGGTCACTTTCCGGAGTAGGGTTGCCAAGGCTCAGATTGATTATCTTCTCCTCAGGAGAGGTGATAAGGGCCTGTGTACGGATTGCAAGGTTATCCCGAGTGAGTGTCTGTCGATGCAGCATAGGCTCCTAGTAATGGATTTGGAGGTCAAGGGAGTAGGGAAGAAGAGAGCGGTGTACGGACAACCTAAGATCAAGTGGGGAACCTTGACTAAGGGAAAGGCTCAGGAGTTGAGGGAGAAGTTGTTGGCTATGAGGGCCCAGAGGAGCAGTGGGGACGCGAGTAGTATGTGGACCATGACAACAAACTGCATTAGGAAAGCTGTTAGGGAGGTGTTAGGGGTCTCGAAGGGTTACTCGGGTGGAAGGGGATTGGTGGTGGAATGAGGAGGTCCAAGAAAAAGTGAAAGCTAAGAAGCGGCGTATCTGAAGCTAGTGAGGAGCACGAATGAGGAAGAGCGAAGGTCGTATAGGGAGTGCTACAAGAAAACAAGGAGATATGCGAAGCTCGCGGTTACGGCGACCAAGACTGCAACTTTTGAAAGATTGTATGAGAATCTTGGTGGCAAAGGAGGGGATAGGAAGCTGCACAAGTTAGCCAAAATTAGGGAGAGGAAGGCTCGGTGTTACATCCCGTAAGTTTAACAACCTTGATACCGTTATATATATATTTGATATGGTATTTTGAGTATAACATTTTTGTAAAAAAAATAAAAATAAATAGTTTGAAAAAAATATGATTTCATATAGTTATTAATATTACCACTTTCGAATATGTTTTAAATTATACAAATAATATGAGATAAGGTTATGAGATTTTCTTTATTGTAAAGATATGAATTATTTTCTCACAAGAAAAGAAGGTTATCTTTTTACCATTTTAATAATTAAGCGTATGAAGTTTTGTACTCTTTATATGAGATTAAGAAAATTAGAAGTTGAGAAAACATGTGCAATTTTTTTTACATGGATGTTTTAATGAAATAATAGTGTATGTATTTATTTTATATAATACCACATGACCATGATAGTAGGATATATAATTATATATAAAGTGTATTAAAAGTAAAATGTATATTAAGTAATTTGAGATAATTCTTAAGTATGTGGGATAGTTTTTTTTTCCTTTTTCTTTTATGGGTAAAATACCAAATTTGTCCTTGTACTTTGTTGGAAGCTCCACAATTACCCTCTGTTGGAAGTTGGATTTGTGTGGGTCATGAAACTTTCGAGCAAAAAAAAACGTCCTTATTTTATTGCACCTGTTCAATTTGAGATATAAAAGTAAATGGACAGAAGAGTAAAAGACGGTATTGCATCCTCCGGTTTAATCGGGTTCGGATTTGCTCCAGTAGAAGAGGCTCCAGTAGATATCAATACTATTGTTAATCAATGCCACATGTCCAGAAAATTTTTCCAAGGTTAGGATCTACTTTAGTTATTCATATTATTTAATGGTTAAAAAGATATGAAATAAATGAAGAGAACAAAAATATGAACATTTGAAAAGTACTGTTCTTTTCTTCTTCTTCTTCTTCTCTTCTTCTTCTTCTTCTTCTTCTTCTTTTATTATGCTATAACCAATTGTTAATTTAGTTAAACAAAATCATCTTCTATTTATTTTAAATCGAACCTCTTTTATTATCCTATTTTTGTAGTACATTTGAAAAGCAACAAAGACATGAAAGGCGGATCAACTCATTTACTGTTATTTTTCTAATTGTCACATTTATTTATTTATTTATTAAGTCTTACTTTGTTTCGTTTTTAGAGCATATTATATATGCATTGTTATATATATATTTAGTGATTATTATGTTTCTTGTTGTAATGTTAATATGTTCATATTATGCAACTTGTAACTGCCACTTTTTTTAATTACCTTTTAACTTGATTATAGCTTATTAAAATTTAAAGAGAATAAAGCCTTACAAACGTTCGGCGACATTTATTTCTTTTTGATTTACAGTTTTTAACCATTAATAGGGAAAAAGTTAAGATGCATCATAGCCTTTGAATGATACCCTGGACAGGCGGCATTGATTAACAACAGTATTGACATCTACTGAAGCTTTTCCTACTGGAGCAAATCCTTACCCGGGTTTAATCATACATAAATATAAAGTACCAATTGACTTGCATATTATTATATTAATAATAATACTTGCTTCTCTAATATGACAATATTAGTAACGATGATAAAGCAATCATCCCCTCCAAAAAACGTGGCAGCAAGTGTGGAAGGGCTCAAAGCCCAATAATATGACTCTTAAACTATTTTGCAAGGTGGCAACATATAAAAGACACTTTTATCTCATTTGGTTGAATATAGAATTAGTGTCCATCCTCCTGGTCAGCGGACTCTTTGTATACACTTGAACCCACCTAAACATTCAGTGATCTCTCTATTAGGAACCTAGGCGGATCTAGAATTTGAAGTTTATGGGTTCCTATTATAATCTTAAATTAATATACAATAATAATTGGGTTCACAATTATATATTTATAGATATTTAATGAATTTTTTAATAAATATATAAGATCTCCGTAAAAGTTATCGGGTTCCCGAGAACCCAGTAACTATACTCTACATCCGCCACTGATTAGGAATTCTTGGCATTCTAATTGTCATTTAGCACTCTAATTGGATAGAATGGCAGTTAAATTTTGCGCTGATGTTACATTCCTATATTCCTACTATTAATAAGAGGCAGTTGAGGAGCTTGGGGTCGTCCTGTCAGCTTGAAGAAATATTATTTGTGTTATAAAACAAAGACTATAAAGTAAAGACAAGTATAGAGAGAAACTGATATATTATTCGA